ACGCCTTAAGGTATGCCATTAAAATAATTTTTAAGAAATCCACGCCTTAAGGTATGCCATTAAAATAATTTTTAAGAAATCCACGCCTTAAGGTATGCCATTAAAATAATTTTTAAGAAATCCACGCCTTAAGGTATGCCATTAAAATAATTTTTAAGAAATCCACGCCTTAAGGTATGCCATTAAAATAATTTTTAAGAAATCCACGCCTTAAGGTATGCCATTAAAATAATTTTTAAGAAATCCACGCCTTAAGGTATGCCATTAAAATAATTTTTAAAGAAATCCACGCCTTAAGGTATGCCATTAAAATAATTTTTAAAAAATCCACGCCTTAAGGTATGCCATTAAAATAATTTTTAAAAAATCCACGCCTTAAGGTATGTCATTAAAATAATTTTTAAAAAATCCACGCCTTAAGGTAGTCTCTGAAAAATAATTTTTAAAAAATCCACGCCTTAAGGTAGTCTCTGAAAAATAATTTTTAAAAAATCCACGCCTTAAGGTATGCCATTAAAATAATTTTTAAGAAATCCACGCCTTAAGGTATGCCACTAAAATAATTTTTAAGAAATCCACGCCTTAAGGTATGCCATTAAAATAATTTTTAAAAAATCCACGCCTTAAGGTATGTGATTAAAAATAATTTTTAAAAAATCCACGCCTTAAGGTATGCCACTAAAATAATTTTTAAGAAATCCACGCCTTTAGGTATGCCACTAAAATAATTTTTAAGAAATCCACGCCTTAAGGTATGCCACTAAAATAATTTTTAAGAAATCCACGCCTTAAGGTATGCCACTAAAATAATTTTTAAGAAATCCACACCTTAAGGTATGCCACTAAAATAATTTTTAAGAAATCCACGCCTTAAGGTATGCCACTAAAATAATTTTTAAGAAATCCACGCCTTAAGGTATGCCACTAAAATAATTTTTAAGAAATCCACGCCTTAAGGTATGCCACTAAAATAATTTTTAAAAAATCCACGCCTTAAGGTATGCCACTAAAATAATTTTTAAAAAATCCACGCCTTAAGGTATGCCACTAAAATAATTTTTAAAAAATCCACGCCTTAAGGTATGCCACTAAAATAATTTTTAAAAAATCCACGCCTTAAGGTATGCCACTAAAATAATTTTTAAAAAATCCACGCCTTAAGGTATGCCACTAAAATAATTTTTAAAAAATCCACGCCTTAAGGTAGTCTCTGAAAAATAATTTTTAAAAAATCCACGCCTTAAGGTAGTCTCTGAAAAATAATTTTTAAAAAATCCACGCCTTAAGGTAGTCTCTGAAAAATAATTTTTAAAAAATCCACGCCTTAAGGTATGCCACTAAAATAATTTTTAAGAAATCCACGCCTTAAGGTATGCCACTAAAGTAATTTTTAAGAAATCCACGCCTTAAGGTATGCCCTAAAAATAATTTGTAATAAATCCACGCCTTAAGGTATGCCCTAAAAATAATTTGTAATAAATCCACGCCTTAAGGTATGCCCTAAAAATAATTTGTAATAAATCCACGCCTTAAGGTATGCCCTAAAAATAATTTGTAATAAATCCACGCCTTAAGGTATGCCCTAAAAATAATTTGTAATAAATCCACGCCTTAAGGTATGCCCTAAAAATAATTTGTAATAAATCCACGCCTTAAGGTATGCCCTAAAAATAATTTGTAATAAATCCACGCCTTAAGGTATGCCCTAAAAATAATTTGTAATAAATTTAAGGTATGCCCTAAAAATAATTTGTAATAAATCCACGCCTTAAGGTATGCCCTAAAAATAATTTGTAATAAATCCACGCCTTAAGGTATGCCCTAAAAATAATTTGTAATAAATCCACGCCTTAAGGTATGCCCTAAAAATAATTTGTAATAAATCCACGCCTTAAGGTATGCCCTAAAAATAATTTGTAATAAATCCACGCCTTAAGGTATGCCCTAAAAATAATTTGTAATAAATCCACGCCGTAAGGTATGCCCTAAAAATAATTTGTAATAAATCCACGCCTTAAGGTATGCCCTAAAAATAATTTGTAATAAATCCACGCCTTAAGGTATGCCACTAAAATAATTTTTAAGAAATCCACGCCTTAAGGTATGCCACTAAAATAATTTTTAAGAAATCCACGCCTTAAGGTATGCCACTAAAATAATTTTTAAGAAATCCACGCCTTAAGGTATGCCACTAAAATAATTTTTAAGAAATCCACGCCTTAAGGTATGCCCTAAAAATAATTTGTAATAAATCCACGCCTTAAGGTATGCCCTAAAAATAATTTTTAAAAAATCCACGCCTTGGGATAGGCTTCAAAAATATTATTTTTAAACAGACACCTCAATAATTTGTATTTTTTTTTTTGCTTTCAGCCCTCACCTATTGCAAGGAAAATCCGAATATCTGCGAAAATGGTGGTAAATGTATTTCCCTAACCAAGGAGGATGGCAGCTATCACTGTCAGTGTCGTCAGGGTTATTTGGGTAAAAATTGTGAAATGGTGGATGAATTTATGATAACCTCAACGTCGGCGCCCAGAATTACCCCACCGCCACTGCCAGGAGATGATGATGATATATCTGAAAATCTGATTAAACGCACCAATACAACCCAAAATCTGGCAGCAGCACCAACAACCACTACCACTAAGACACCCTTTGCAAATCCGAATTCCAACAATGGAAGTCTAGTGAATGCCTCGGAGAAAATTGACAAATTTGCAACTAAAACAAAACCAATTTTGACAACAGTTCGTCCGGTGACCCTTGGCCTCAGTACCACAACCACTGAAAGAAATCTCAAATTTCCATATAAATTTGAGAATTTAAAAAATATCTCTGGATCCGATATTATTGGTACTGCAACCACAAATGTCTTGGTACCGAATAGGGATATGTCGAAGGATTCGTTAAAAGTGAATAAAAATATTAACAATAAAATACCAAGTTCGAGTACGATGTCCCCTCTAAGCCGACTGGAGGAGGAACAACATCAGCCGACATTTGTCAGCGGCAGCAGCAACAAGGGGACAGCTGTAAAAGTTGGTGCCACCCAGCCATCAAAAGTTGAAGTAGTGTCGCAGCAGCAGGAGGAGGAAGAAGAGGATGAAGAATGCACGGAGGATGATAACGATGAAGACTGTGAATATGAAGATGACGAGGAAGAGGAAACGGATGATGAGGAGGAGGAGGATGATAAATAATTTTAAAAACAAATATATATTTATTTATATTTTTATTTAGTCAATATTTTATTTTTAATAATTTATATTTATTATAATTTATATAAATAATAAAAAAAAAAATAAAAATAATTAATACGAAACAAAGGGCGACATCTATTGGGGAAATTTAACCATCAGTACAGCAATAACTTCCTTTATTCGTTTAATCAGAAGTCCAACAAACACCCTACTATTCCGAAATGTGTTGCATACTTTTTGAATGTGTATTAGTAATACACAAACGAATTCCAACAATTTTAAAACAAATGATACCCTTAACAAAACTTGGCAAGTTCCTGATTTTTGTTGTGGCTGCTTCCGTGACTCTTTAACAATTTTATTTTTCAAGTTCCGATCTCAAAACTCCAATAAAATATACGATAATGTTGTTGTGGTTGTTACTGGCACATTTGTGGTCCTTATACAATACATGGAAAAATGTATTAGGGTGGTAAGACCTTCATAAATAATTTTTAAAAAATCCACGCCTTGAGATATGCCTTAAAACTAATTTTTAAAAAATCCACGCCTTGAGATATGCCTTAAAACTAATTTTTAAAAAATCCACGCCTTGAGATATGCCTTAAAACTAATTTTTAAAAAATCCACGCCTTGAGATATGCCTTAAAAATAATTTTTAAAAAATCCACGCCTTGAGATATGCCTTAAAAATAATTTTTAAAAAATCCACGCCTTGAGATATGCCTTAAAAATAATTTTTAAAAAATCCACGCCTTGAGATATGCCTTAAAAATAATTTTTAAAAAATCCACGCCTTGAGATATGCCTTAAAAATAATTTTTAAAAAATCCACGCCTTGAGATATGCCTTAAAAATAATTTTTAAAAAATCCACGCCTTGAGATATGTCTTAAAAATAATTTGTAAAAAAATCCAGCCTTGAGATGTGCCTTAAAAATAATTTGTAAAAAAATCCGCGCCTTGAGATATGCCTTAAAAATAATTTTTAAAAAATCCACGCCTTGAGATATGTCTTAAAAATAATTTTTAAAAAATCCACGCCTTGAGATATGCCTTAAAAATAATTTTTAAAAAATCCACGCCTTGAGATATGCCTTAAAAATAATTTTTAAAAAATCCACGCCTTGAGATATGCCTTAAAAATAATTTTTAAAAAATCCACGCCTTGAAATATGCCTTAAAAATAATTTGTAAAAAATCCACGCCTTGAGATATGCCTTAAAAATAATTTGTAAAAAATCCACGCCTTGAGATATGCCTTAAAAATAATTTGTAAAAAATCCACGCCTTGAGATATGCCTTAAAAATAATTTTTAAAAAATCCACGCCATGAGATATGCCTTAAAAAGAATTGAGGGAATGGGCACATGAGACCCACAAAAACCTTTGGGATAATGAGGGGAAAGGAAAAATCACCAAAATCTTATGGGTCGACCCAAGTGAAGACAAAACTAAGCAAATCCTAATGCTAAACAAAAAAAGAAATAAGCCGACTGACGGGTATTCTGACGGGACACCTGGACCTGAAGGCACATCTACTCAAGATTGGATGCGAAGAAAGTAACGAGTGCAGAGTGAAACTCTGGAACATTTTCTGTGCCATTGCCCAGCATTTACATGTCTTCGGAGACAATTCTTGGGAAATGACACTCTTCACAGACTAAGCGATCTCAAGGGGTGTGAATGGAAAAGATTGAAGAAGTTCGCAAAAAAAAAACACGGAATTCCTAGATTCATAGGGAATCAAACCAAAATGTTTCTCTTTATTAATATACACTTTCACTAATTCTTGTTTTAAACGTTCTCCGCACTTCTAGAGCGCAGAACAGGCCTCATATGGCTTATGTGTATGTCCTTCTCATGTTGGACTTGTGGTGGTATCATCCACCCCTCTGTTCAACCTAACCTAACAGGCAAATGGAAACAAAATAGGCCCATGGTTCCTTTTGAGAATATGCATAGAATCACTATCTGAGTCGATTTATGCAAGTCCGTCAGTCCGTCCGTCTGTAGATGTTAAATTGTAAACAAAGTACAGGTCGCATTTATGATCCGATTTAAATTAAATTTGGCACAAGTCACTTAGTTGGCCCAAGGACGAACCCTATTGAAATTCAAGAAAATCGGCTCAGATTTAGATATAGCTCCCATATATATTTTCGTCCGATTTACGGTAAATGGAGCACCAAAGACCTTTGCACGAAATTTGGAATAGGGTACTGGATTAAGTCCAGATTGATGTGTGCTAAGTTTCGTGAAAACCGGTTCTGATTTACATATAACTCCCATATATATATATTTGTCCGATTTTAAGTAAATGGTGCACCAAAGTCCCTATATATCTTTCGATTTGATCGAAATTTTGCATAGTGTACTGAATTTAGTCTACAACGATGTGTGTTAAATTTGGTGAAAATCGGTTCCGATTTAGATATAGCTCCCATATATATTTTCGTCCGATTTTATGTAAATGGTGCACCAAAGTCCCTATATATCTTTCACTTTTGCACGAAATTCTACATAGCCTACTGAATTGGGTCCAGAATGATGTGTGCTAAGTTTCGTGAAAATAGCCTCAGATTTAGATATAGCTCCCATATATTTTTTCGTCCGATCTAAGGTAAATGGGGCACCAAAGTCCCCATATATCTTTCGATTTGCATGAAATTTGACATAGAGTACTGAATTAGGTCCAGAATGACGTGTGCTAAGTTTCGAGAAAATCGGTTCAGATTTAGATATATCTCCCATGTAAAGTTTCGTCCGATTTAAGGTAAATGGAGCTCCAAAGTCCCTATATATCTTTCGATTTGAAGGAAATTTGGCATAGGGTACTGAATTAGGTCCAGAATAATGTCTGCTCAGTTTCGTGTAAATCGGCTCAGATTTAGATATAGCTCCTATATATAGTTTTGTCCGATTTGAGGTAAATGAGATAGCAAAGTCCCTATATATCGTTCGATTTGCACGAAATTTGGCATAGCGTAATGAGTTAGGTCCAGAATAATTTCTGCTAAGTTTCGTGAAAATCTATTCAGATTTATATATAGCTCCCATATATAGTTTTGTCCGATTTTATGTAAATTTCGCACCAAGGTCCTTATATATCTTTTGACTTGAACGAAATTTTGCATAGTGTACTGAATTATGTTTAGAATGACGTGTGCCAAGTTTCGCGAATATCGGTACAGATTTAGATATAGCTCCCATATATATTTTCGTCCGATTTTATGTAAATGGTGCACCAATGTCCCTATATATCTTTTGATTTGCACGAAATTTGGCATGGGGTACTGAATTAGGTCCAGAATGATGTGTGCTAAGTTTCAAGAAAATCGGTTCAGATTTATATATAGATCTTATATATATTTTCGTCCGATTTAAGTGGTGAAGGGCATCATATAGTCGGCGCAGTCCGATTTTACAGCTTTCCTTGCTGGTTTAAAAATATTTATATCCAACATCCCTATTAAATTTCCAAACTATTATCAATTCAAGTTCCTCATGTTCCCATGAACCACATACATATATACACAAATATTTGCATATGCACACACATGCACAAATCTCCATAAAACATATTTTGGTTGTGATGGTAGTGGCTTATCAATTTTTGACTTTATTTGAGTGTGTTTATTTAGTTTAGAAGAAGAAGAAGAAGTTGGCTAGATTTATTCCGGAATATTTGCCAGCCCCAACAATTTTGTGTATTTGTGCAGCATCAGTTGCTGCAGTGGATGCCAAGCTCAGCCGACGAGGAGAGCAGAGACAATATTTACATGATGCAGTAGTTGTTGATAATTGGCAAAAAAAGAGAAATCCCTTGGCTGGGTATTTATGCAGAACTTCAAATTTTATTTGCAAAAGTTTTTTCTTGTTGTTGTTGTGGTTTATAAGACCTGTAATTTATGGCTGGAAGATTAATCTTGAGTCCTTTTGAAGGGAGGGAGGTAGAAAGGTGGAAAGATGTATGTGTTCTGTTTTAAACTTAACTTTAAACTTCGAATATGTTTTATTGTTGGTTTAGCAATACCATCTCTTGTCCTGCTCCAAATTGCCTTGGTACTTCATCTGAATCCTTGATCTAACCAAATAAAAACTGAAAAATGTATTTATTTACAAAGTATTTAAATTGCAAACAGAGAGCAGGATACACCTGCTATATAAATACGGTAATTGTGTGGTGAGAAAGATAAGACAGGATGGGGTACAAATGAGCACAGAGAGAAATAATAAATGGGGATTTTTTATACCCTACACAACTATGTTGTCAGGGTATTATAGCTTTGTGCAGCCCCAAAAGTTTGTAACGCCGCGAAATATTGGTCCTAGACCCACCTCGTCATATCTCGACTAGCTGAGTCGATCTAGACATGTGTGTCCGTCCGTCCGTCTGTCCATTATAATTTGTGAACACGATACAGACCACAGTTATTGACCAATCTTCACGAAATTTTGCATGTAGGATAGGTTCAGGCCAATGAAGACCCCTATTGTTTTTGGTAAAGATCGGTTAATATTTAGGGGATGAAATGGACCAAATACTTAATTTTTGTCCGTTCTACGGGTTGCTCCAAAGGCCGCAATTATGGCCCGAAATTTTACATGGAGAAAGGGATCGGGCTTAAGAATAAGCATGCCTGTTTTGATAAAGATTGGCCAATATTTAGCTGGTCAAATGGACCCCGACTTTTGTGTGAAAAAATACAAAATTTGTATTCTGTGGCGTATATATTTTCCCCAGAAGGGCATAGACCCGAGAAGTTGACAGTATATTCAAGAGGAGTGGTTGACATTTAAATTGATACCAATATTGTCGTACTCAGATGTGGGAGGTGCACTTAAATATTTACAGGTGCTTACGTATTCAGATATTATTTTGTAACCCATTACCACACTAGAGGGCGATCGCTTTGAAATTTTCCATGAGGATCCAGGTATGGTCAAGGCTAACGCCTATCATTTTCGATAATGATCAGATAATAATTTTGGCATGAA